CCTCCCCCCCCACACCCCTCCATCCTTTTGCCCCCTCCCCCCCGTACAATGCCCTCCTAATCCCAGTATTGTCCCCTCCTGATTCCCTTGTACTGTGCCCTCCAATCACAGAATCCCCAGTATTGTGCCCTCCTGACCCCCCCCCCCCCCCCCCCCCGTATTGTGCCCTCCTGACTTCCCACACTGTACTGTGCCCTCCTGACTCCCCCTGTACTGTGCCCTCCTGACTCCCCCTGCATTGTGCCCTCCTGACTCCCCCCTAGTACCCCCAGTATTGTGCCCTTCTGATCCTTGTATTGTGCCCTCCTGACACCCCCCTGTATTGTGCCCTCCTGACTCCCCCCTGTATTGTGTCCTCCTGGCTCCCCCCTGTATTGTGCCCTCCTGACTCCCCCCGTACCGTGCCCTCAAGAGTCAGCTGGTAGTGGGTTACTAATCACTATCAGCTGACAGGTTAGAACTGTGCCAAGCTGGAGAAGCAGAGTAGAGAGCAGCTACTGACAGTCAATCCTCTCCACTGCCAGCAGACCAAGAGCTCAGCATATATGTTTATTTTAGTGTCTACCCTAGACTTCACCTTTAATGATTGCCTGCTTCCCTGTGGATGAGGTTTTACCTCACTTCCTGTCCTGGTGACACCAGAGCATTGTCAGCTCAACTTCCCGGAAACCGTTGTCCATATATTCCTTTTAAAAACTTCTGCTAGGGCCCCATGACAATATTGGATTGAGTTGCACTTATTTTTTTTTTTCCAAGCTGGTGGCAGTAAATGAGGATCCGGCGGCAGTAAATGAGGATCCGGCGGCCGTAAATGAGGATCCGGCGGCCGTAAATGAGGATCCGGCACCAGTAAATGAGGATCCGGCGCCAGTAAATGAGGATCCGGCGCCAGTAAATGAGGATCCGGCGCCAGTAAATGAGGATCCGGCGCCAGTAAATGAGGATCCGGCGCCAGTAAATGAGGATCCGGCACCAGTAAATGAGGATCCGGCGCCAGTAAATGAGGATCCGGCACCAGTAAATGAGGATCTTTGCACACCCCTGCAGCTCTTTTCTCTGACTAATGTGTACAATATGCAGCACACAGCTCAATATTCCATGTAAATGTATATGTAGGTTATAGCAGTGACTCCTACTCACCCAGGCTCGAGGATTCAGTCATAGTCATCCCTGGCTGTGTGAAGCCCATGGATTGCCTTGGGGAGGAAGAGATGGAGATCTGGGATGGCGTTCTGCTGCATTTCCCATGGTTCTCCGACTTCAGACGATCGTTTTCGGCTTTCAGCTTCTCAATCTCGGTCTGGAAGCAATAATAATTAGAGCTTGCAGCAGAGGCTCAGCCAATCGAACAGGAAAATCAGGAGCAATGTCAGGCAATACGTTTCCTTTCACGCGGGCCATCTGATGAGGTCCACCTGTCATTTTTTTTTTGTTCTGACCTGATCAGATGGTCTGTGCAGCCCGTCTACACCCGCCTACGTCTGGGTCTAATCAGGCCCACTAACAAAAATAGAGGCGGACTGCGTCCTCTTCCGTTTGGGCGGACCGGATCAAAAAGCTGCTGGATGAGAGGGCACAGCTGTGCCAGTGGTGAACGCACGGAAAAGGTGGTCTTTTTGACCATGCGGTTTCCTGTGGTTTCCGCACCTGTGATTGTACCGCTATCATGCTGCGGTATGAGATGCGTGGGGGTGTCATGCAGAATGAATGACATCCCCCCGCGTCTCGCAAGAGAAGCATGATGCGGCTGCGGGTGGCTGCGGGTACGGGAAACGCATCGATTCCTGTACCAGCAACCAGCCCACAGCGTGCGGACTAGTGTGAGCCTAGCCTAAACGGACAACAGAGTCTGTTTACACCCAGCCGTCCATAGAGCAGAGACGGGTCTTTCTGTCTGTTCTGCTGAAACTGATTGGACACGGACCCGTCATCCCCCTTGCTCTGCTCCAATCAGCAGGGGATCTGTGAACAGATCCCCTGCTGATTGAAATGCAAACCGCACGTGTGAGAGGGCCCTATGTGAACACTGGTGATGGGCTTTATGTTTCGAGTCGAGTAGGGAGGAGGGACCAACGCCCATGTTAAGGGCATGTGGCTTTGTATGGTTCAGGAGGGGGTTGCTTGCTTGCCCCCCCCCCCCCCTTTCCTGGCCTGCTTGGCTGCATACTCGGATAAGGGTCTGGTATGGATTTTGAGGGGGGACCCCTACCCCATTTTTTTTTTTTATTTTGGCATGGGGGTTCCCCTCAAAATCCATACGAGACCTGAAGGGCTTGGTATGAATGGGAGGAGGGACCTACACCATTTTTTTTTACATTTTAAGGTGCTTTGGGGGGAGCCCCCCATGCCACAAAACACCCTTCCCATGTTGAGGGCATGTGGCTTGGTATGGTTCAGGAGGGGGGGGGTGCTTGCTTGTCCCTCCCCTTTCCTGACCTGCTTGGCTGCATACTCGGATAAGGGTCTGGTATGGATTTTGAGGGGGGACCCCTACCCCATTTTTTTTTTTTATTTTGGCATGGGGGTTCCCCTCAAAATCCATACCAGACCTGAAGGGCTTGGTATGAATGGGAGGAGGGACCTACACCATTTTTTTTACATTTTAAGGTGCTTTGGGGGGAGCCCCCCATGCCACAAAACACCCTTCCCATGTTGAGGGCATGTGGCTTGGTATGGTTCAGGAGGGGGGGGGGGTGCTTGCTTGTCCCTCCCCTTTCCTGACCTGCTTGGCTGCATACTCGGATAAGGGTCTGGTATGGATTTTGAGGGGGGACCCCTACCCCATTTTTTTTTTAATTTTGGCATGGGGGTTCCCCTCAAAATCCATACCAGACCTGAAGGGCTTTGGTATGAATGGGAGGAGGGACCTACACCATTTTTTTTACATTTTAAGGTGCTTTGGGGGGAGCCCCCCATGCCACAAAACACCCTTCCCATGTTGAGAGCATGTGGCTTGGTATGGTTCAGGAGGGGGGGTGCTTGCTTGCCCCCCCCCCCCTTCCTGACCTGCTGGGCTGCATGCTCGGATAAGGGTCGGGTATGGATTTTGAGGGGGACCCTTACCCCATTTTTTTTTTTACATTTTGGCATGGGGGTTCCCCTTGAAATCCACACCAGACCCGAAGGGCTTGGTAGGAATGGGAGGAGGGACCTACACCATTTTTTTTTTTTTTCAATTTGAAGGTGCTTTGGGGGGCCCACCATGCCCCAAAACACCCTTCCCATGTTGAGGACATGTGGCTTGGTATGGTTCAGGAGGAGGGGGGTGCTTGCTTGTCCCCCTTTCCTGACTTGCATGCTCGGATAAGGGTCTGGTATGGATTTTGCGGAGTACCCCTACCCCATTTTTTATTTTTAATTTTGGCATGGGGGTTCCCCTCAAAATCCATACTAGACCCGAAGGACTTGGTATGAATGGGAGGAGGGACCTACGCCATTTTTTTTTAAATTTTAGTTGTCGGTCACTGCCAGCAATTTTTTTGACATTCAGCTGTCAGTGGGGAACCCCGCTGACAGCTGAAACATCAAAGAATGTTTTCATTACTAAAATACCGCATGAATTAATAACAGAACTCCGTATTTTAGTATCTTACCACCAGAGGCATCCCTAGGGTTGGTGTCACCCGGTGCGATAACACTTGGTGACACCCCCTCCGACTGAGCACAATGGATCGGACTCCGATCCATTATGCTCCCCAATCCGTAGATCCAATCCATCCTGCGGGGATCGCTGACTTGCTTTACAACTTGCCTTTTTGTGGAGAAGGGTCTGGTGTCACCCCGTGCAGTCGGTGTCACCCCGTGCGGTCGGTGTTACCCGGTGCAGTCGGTGTCACCCACTGCTTACCACATACTCAGATGCGCTAAGATTCCGCTCGGTAAATTGTCCCTGTTTGCAGTTCGCGGTTCAACTTTCATTAGGTTTGAATGTTCGACCGCGAACCAAACGGGGGTGTTCGGCCCATCACTAGTGAACACATTCAATGAGGTACCAATGTAATCCAATGAACACTGTGGCTGTGCAGTACCTGCATTCTGTTCATGGCCTCCCGCAGTATATCCAGCTGATGTGCCGAGCTCAGAGCCTCCAGCCTTATGTCGGTCAGTTTCATCTCCTTGTCGCGCAGCTCGTTGCGCAGTTGTAAGACGCTGTCTGCTTCATTGTCTGCGCACTCAGAAAGGCTAAAAGGGGACACAAAAGGAAAATACAGCCACTGCATTACCTTCCATAACCCCTACATGTGATGCCGAGCTTCCATGATTGAAAAAGCTGAACCAATGAATGAAAGGGGTGGGGTCAGGGACAGTCAGGCTGGGGAGGAAAGGGGAGAGCTGCGCTCTGTGTGTCAATGGACACACAGCTCCAGCTCAGGAGCGAGTCCCCATGATTGCCCCCGTAGCAAATGGCTTAGTATGGGGGCACTAAGCAAGGGCAGAGGAGCCATCAATGCCAGCAGATGAGCAATGAGCACACCTGAGAAGAGGCTGCTCTTTGCAAAACTATTGTAATGACATGTTTATTAATTTACAGAAAAAAAGGTTTAGAGCCACTTTAAGAGTCCTCAGCCCTGATGCAAGCAGCGGGTGACCATGGGGAGGAGTTATGCAAATATCAGAATGCCCTGCAGGGTGCGTGTCAGTCTAGGCCGAGTGGGCCTTCCGAGGCAGGCTGCGTTTGCATGAAAGCACCCACATGTGATGTTAAACATCTATGTTTGAAAGAAATGAAATCTACTGAATAAAAGGGGCGGGGCCAGAGACGGTCAGGCTGGTGAAGGAAAGTGCTACATGATGCTGGACGTCCTCCAGTCAAGAAATGAGGAGGAGCTCTATCTGACTTGCCGCAGCTTCTGATGCACATGGTGAGAAGCTCACAGTGTGCAGTGACATTAGAGGAAGCGGTTTCAGTCCAGGAGAGGAGCTGGTACACCTGTGCAAGACTGGAGGGGAGGAGCCGATACACCTGTGCAAGCCTGATGGGGAGGAGCCAGTACAACTGTACAAGACAGAAGGGGAGGAGCCGGTACACCTGTGCAAGACTGAAGGGGAGGAGCCGGTACACCTGTGCAAGACTGAAGGGGAGGAGCCGATACACCTGTGCAAGACTGAAGGTGAGGAGCCGATACACCTGTGCAAGACTGAAGGGGAGGAGTCGTACACCTTTGCAAGACTGAAGGGGAGGGGCCGGTACAACTGTGTAAGACTGAAGGGGAGGAGCCAGTACACCTGTACAAGACTGAAGGGGAGGAGCTGTTACACCTGTGCAAGACTGAAGGGGAGGAGCTGTTACACCTGTGCAAGACTGAAGGGGAGGAGCTGTTACACCTGTGCAAGACTGAAGGGGAGGAGCCGGTACAACTGTGTAAGACTGGAGGGGAGGAGCCGGTACACCTGTGCAAGACTGAAGGGGAGGAGCCGGTACATCTGTGCAAGAATGGAGGGGAGGAACCGATACACCTGTGCAAGACTGAAGGGGAGGAGCCGGCACAACTGTGTAAGACTGGAGGGGAGGAGCCGGCACAACTGTGTAAGACTGGAGGGGAGACCAGATTTCAGCTTGATGCAATCACTCAGCACGACATATTACAATACGATGAAATGTCGATTTCCAGACATGAAAATAATTCACAGATCACCCAATTATAATTCACGACTTGGAGCGTGACACGGAGCACAGGACGTGCCTATAAAGATTTTATGGTTCTTTTTATTTTATGAAGACTTCCTCTTATGTGGCAGCCGCCGAAACTGGTTGATCGAGGCTGCCTGTCCGGACAGAACTGTGTGGATTTCTTTAATTAACGTGTAATTGATCAATTACGGCATAGAACATCATTAACGGATTGTAAAGGCTATAAAGATGGAAACAATATGTCATCTACAAGGAGGGGGGGGGGGGGGGGGGGTACTTTGGATTCCGTCTTAAAGGGGTTGTGGCAGGATGAGTACACATGTAATGATCACGGATATTCTTTACAGCACAGAGAGGCAACCCTGGCACTCCACCTGTGGTGAAACTACAAATCATGGCCGGATCTAGGGGGTGCTGGGATGGGGCTCTGCTGCCTGTGCCCTGGCTGTGCTGTGCAGGGATGGGAGAAGGAACTGTGCCCCTGTCCTCTGCCCCATCCAGCAGCGACCCCAGTCCTCTGCCCCGCCAGCAGCGACCCCAGTCCTCTGCCCCGCCAGCAGCGACCCCAGTCCTCTGCCCCGCCAGCAGCGAGCCCCGTCCTCTGCCCCGCCAGCAGCGAGCCCCGTCCTCTGCCCCGCCAGCAGCGAGCCCCGTCCTCTGCCCCGCCAGCAGCGAGCCCCGTCCTCTGCCCCGCCAGCAGCGAGCCCCGTCCTCTGCCCCGCCAGCAGCGAGCCCCGTCCTCTGCCCCGCCAGCAGCGAGCCCCGTCCTCTGCCCCGCCAGCAGCGAGCCCCGTCCTCTGCCCCGCCAGCAGCGAGCCCCGTCCTCTGCCCCGCCAGCAGCGAGCCCCGTCCTCTGCCCCGCCAGCAGCGAGCCCCGTCCTCTGCCCCGCCAGCAGCGAGCCCCGTCCTCTGCCCCGCCAGCAGCGAGCCCTGTCCTCTGCCCTGCCAGCAGTGACCCCTGTCCTCTGTCCTACTGTACTCCCATCCTCTGCACCGCTGATTTTTTACTACACCCCCACATCAGACAGGATAGATCCGGTCTGCGGTCAGGTGCATTGCTTTGACCAATCACAATGCACTGTCAGGGCGCATTACTGTTCAGGTGTTCGCCAAACACACGAACGGCCCATGTTCGAGTTGAATTCAGGGTCGACTCGAACATGTAGCCCATCCCTACTGGCAAAAATTATAACCAGTACTAATACATTTTTAGTTGCATTCTACAGAATCTTCGCCCACTGTACAGATCGGTCACCCTGCTGATGGCATGACAAACAGAATTCCACACACCAAACAATGGTCATCAGAGGTTCAAACTTACATGGAATTGGAGTGGGAGGTCCGCATGACGGGAGTGGGACATCACGGAGCCATTGTGAGGTAACTTGGGCGAGGAAGGGAGGGAGGAGTCCGTCATTTCCTCGATATCCGAGTGAGAGGACGCCGACTTGGGGGACTTCTTTTTACCGAAGGCTTGTTTGAAGGAGCTTCTCAGCTGGAAGGAAAGACAAGCACCGTGAGGAACCTTTGGATGACAATATGGCGGACAGAGACACTCGATGATATAGAGTCCTGTGATGTGAATTTCGAGAAAAATGGTGAACAGGTGGAGGGAGCCACGGGAAGACAATGATGATGGAGGAAAAGACACAACAGATGACACAAGATGGACGATGACAGCGTGCGGCTCTTACCTCATTCACCTGGATCGGGACACGAAAGCAAAAACGGAACAGTAGAGAAGGAAGGAGGAAAAAACAAAAACAAAAAAAAAAAACAAAAGTTTAACAGACAACATAAAATACTTCTGAGGGCCACAACAAAAGACAGATATGAGCGCTAATGAGCAAAGGGTAAGATTGTAAATGCACTACAGGAAGGCTTTGGGCCTACTTAGGATCATCAATGCATGCGACCCGTGACTGAGGCTTTTCTTTCTTCTCGTCGGCCAAACCTACTCTAGGCTTGACTATTCCTTTATAGGGATCTTCTGATGGTCAAGGATGCGTCCATTGGTATCAGTTCTCTCTGACCATTCACCTGACCATCTCTCTATGGCCCTATTGGACCCCCCCAACCCAGATCCACCTCCTGGTGACCCAATGAAGACCTCCTCCAGGACCATACATTGGTAAAAGATGGGACTAAGAATTTTTTACTTTCTTTCAACTCAACCATGAGACAGGCACCAACCTACTCACCAACTGGGAGGCCAATATATGCACAATGGGCCCCTGCGAGGCCCCTTTGCCTTGCACAGAAAATTACTAGAAGCTCTTTGTACCATTTCCAAGCACAAGACCTTACTCTGTACAATGAGCAGTTGGGGTATCTACTGGTAGACCCCAAATCCCTGCCTGCCTTGCCACATGGATCTGTAACACTGGACTTATGAGAGAAGAGAGCCAGAGCTGAAGAGAGAACAAAGGTTTAGCGTTGGGGGACAAAGAAGCAGAGACTTGTACAACAAATGTACAATGAGTAAATATTTTAGCGCTGGAGGGGTATTATGGATACTACTAGAAAGTCCACCAATCTAAAAAGTTCACCAGTAAAGTCCAACTGTTAAGGGAAGGAGCGAGGGGGGAGGGGGGTTAAACAGGCTGTTCGTGTTCCCAAAGGGTAGTGGACAAAAGACATCAGCATCAGTGGCAGCACCCTCAGAGTAAAGCTGGACTCTATAGGCAAGGAGAGAGAAGAGAGGGGCGCCAGACTAAGTGCAGCATTAATCATGGCAAATTAAGAACATAAAGAGCATGTCACCCATGATGTGGTCCAAAGGAATTCCAGGAGCCCGAGGAGGACAAGAGAAGATGTCTGACATGAGGAAGCAATGATTTGAAATGCTTTACCATCCATTTTACGTTACCACGCTCCAACGTCTGATGTCACATCCACCCCGGCGCCATTTGCGTTCCAAGCTGGTTCCCCACGGTGGCTGTCCGCTCCAGGAGCTCCGGTTCCAGCTACCAACAAGACGCCAGGACTCCTCTTGTCCACCTCGGGCTCCTGGGATTCCTTTGGACCACGTCATGGGTGACATGGTGTCATGGGTGACATGCTCTTTATGTTCTTAATTCTAGTGAGTTGCCAATTGTAATCTTGCAATAAATTGCCACGATTAATGCTGCACTTAGTCTGGCGCCCCTCTCTTCTCTCTCCTTGCTTAGAGAGTCCAGCTTTACTCTGAGGGTGCCACTGGTGCTGCTGTCTGTTGTCCACTCAGCGGTGTATTTAGGTTTTGTGCTGTCCTAGGCAACACAAAAATCGGCCACCCCTCCCCCCCATCCGCGGAGAGAGCCTGACACCAACCAACACCACGCCCCCCACCCAAGAAAGCCTTCCAATACCACCACGGTCCATACACCGGCCACCGCAACCCGACGCCAGCAAGAGAGAGACACTCATCTTCACAGCTCCAGACATCCCCTGGAATGCGTCAGACTCTACATACACCATCAAGCAGCCCTCAGCCTCTCTCGAATCCCACCTGGTCCCCATGCCATGTGTGTCCCTTCTTCTGTCCCTTCTTCTGGGGAGCAGTGCTGCCCCCTAAAAAAAAATGCTGCCCTAGGCAAATGCCTTGTTTGCCTTGTGGTAAATACACCCGTGTCCACTACCCATGTCACCCATGACGTGGCCCAAAGGAATCCCGGGAGCCCGAGGAGGAGAAGAAGAGTCCTGGTGTCTTGCTGGTAGCTGGAACCGGATCTCCTGGAGCGGCTGAATGACCATGGGGAACCATGCTTGGAACGCAAATGGCGCCAGGGCGGACGTGATGACAGATGTTGGGCGTGGTGACGTAAAATTGGCGGTAATGCGTTTCGAAGCGGAGCTACGTCATCAGACCTCTCCTCTTGTCCTCCTCGGGCTCCCGGGATTCCTTTGGACCGCGTCATGGGTGACATGCTCTTTATGTTAATTCTACTGAGTCAAATCAAATTGCCACGATTAATGCACTTAGTCTGGCGCCCCGCTCTTCTCTCTCCCTGTACAACAAATGTGTCAAACACAAGGCCCTCTGGCCGAATCCAGCCTGCCACACCATTTTTATTGTGTCCCTCGCACCTCTCCTGCAGCTGCAGCAGCACCCTCGTCTCTGCCCCCACCTTGTCTCAGCAGTAGAGAGGACAAAACTTCTCTGCCAGATCCTGGGCTTCTCCATGCAGTGGTGGAGAGGCTCGTCTCAGCAGTCAGCAGCAGAGAGGAGGACAGAACTCCTCCTCCAGATCCTGTGCTGCGATGTGCAGAATCGGATCGCATAGGTGTGAATACCCCTTCTAGTACAGATCCAAAGAAGGATCCCGCACGTTTTTGGTGCGGGTGCGCTGCGGTTAGAGTCATACAAAATGTACGGCTCCGATCGCACTGCATACAAATCGCATGTGCGAATCACATGCAATATACAGCATGTACGTGAACCCGGGCTAAACAGCAACATATCTGTTCATGACATGTACATTCTGTGCTCCCCGATCAGTAATGCAGCGCAGCAGTTACAGCTCCTCATATTGAAGTTCAAATCTATGGCTGGCCTCGCCCAATTGGCTAAGTGCGAGGACCAGACGGGGGAGGGGGGGGGGGGGGATGCAAGGTACCGCGATCAGGGGTGCATTTACCACAAAGCAAACAAGGCATTTGCCTAGGGCGGCATTTTTCAGGGGGGCAGCGGAATGTTTCAGGGGGGCAGCGCCATCCCCCAAAGGAAGGAATGGAAGAAGGGACACACGCAACATGCAGACCTGGTGGGATCTGAGAGAGACTGCGGGCTGCTTGATGGTGTATGCAGATCCTGATTCTAGTTCCTGGGGATGTCCGGAGCTGTGAAGGTGAGTGTCTTCTCTCTCGCCGGGGGGGGGGGGGGCATTGCCAGTGTAAGGGGGGCAGTGGTAGTGGAAGGCTCTCTTGGGTGGGGGGCTGGGGTGTTCTTGGTCAATGCCAGGCTCTCTTCGTGGGGAGGGGGGTGCTGTTCGGTGTCAGGGTCTCTCCGTGGGGGGGCGCCAATTTTTGTGTTGCCTAGGGCAGCATGAAACCTAAATACACCACTGACCGCGATCCATTCCTTCGCCAGGGTCTGCTCGCATGGAGCAGCTACTTCTGGCTGCTTCGGTAGTCGGAAATGTCCAAGAAATCGGGAACATCCAACAAATGTCGGCTCAGATCGCTTCCTATCCTGTAATGCATTTTATCTCAGCAGCTCGGATGTTAAATTGTATCGTCAGACATACAGATAGCTAAAGAGAGAATCTACATATGAAATACCGGCATGAAAATGTGGAACAGCCATGAAAATAAGTCGCAGCAGAAAAATACTTTTAGAGATACGCTAGCGTTCCCCTTTTATAAAAAGAAAAAAAAAATAAATAAAAAACGCTGACTAATAATTTTTTTTTTTTTACATTACTGTATACCCCTGATCACAGGGGCCCCTGGACTGTCTCTCGGGGCGGAGGACTCTTACCCAGTTCTTCCGATTCTTCTTCTTCTTGGAATCGCTGTCCACGTTGCTTCCCACGCTGGAGTGGCTGGTGGCGCTGTTCACGCTGGAGACGCTGTCAGAGGAGTGTTGCCGTCTGATGCGCAGGTCAGCCGACTGCATCGTCCCGTTACCTGCGTGACAAACACGACATTACATACGATCGCTGTCGAAGTTCCATGTAGACTTCTGCACTGCGGCTAGACGTGGGCAGAACGAAACACTTTGTTTCGTTTCGTTTTCAATGAATTCGCAACGAAATTCATTTTGTTTAGTTTCGTTTTTGACCAGATTAAAATTTTTTTCAAGGGATTAGAAATATTTGAAACGAATTTGAATTGAAAATAACGAATCGATCCGAATTCATTGTGAGGAATACCTGGTTCTATTCTATTCTAAATTTAAACTCCGCCCCCTGCATCCCCTCGGGGGCGGGCAGAACATTGTATGGTTCCTCAATAATTGGATGGCTGCATTCTACAGCTGAGCAGATGTAACCGTTTTCTCCTTAGCCTGGCCATAGATGAGGTCGATGGTGAAATCCCCCCTCCCCGCTTTGCCAGTGTATTCAGATCGCTGGATCTCCGCTGTGGTCACAATACACTGATCAGCACTGCAGCCACTTGGCTGAGGGTTCACACTATAGAAATGGATGGGTTTTTGGCGCATTTCAGTGCATTTTTGATGTGTTTTTTTATGCATTCCAGTTAATTTTCTCTCTCTTCAATTTAAATAGGGACATGTGCGTTTCAGTGCGTTGCGGTACGATTTTGATGCATTTTACCGCATTCCAGTACAGATCTGTGCAGAAAAAATGCAGCCTGTTCTTCTTTTTTTTTTCTTCAACCGGAACGCACCGGAACTGCCACCACTGATGTGAACTATGACAACCATATCACCTACTTTGTGTACCTTTTGCATGCAGAAAAAATACAACTGAAATGCATGGAGTGTGAACCGGCCCTGAAAGTTTTCCAACTGTCCCCTTCAACCCGAAGTCGATCATTGGATCGACTTCTAGCGAGCGGGAACAGCCATTGATGGATCAGATGTTGGCCAGTCCTTGCTGAACCGTCTGAATTTTGATCCAAGGCCAGCTTTACACAGAGCGTAAAAGCTTCGCACTGACAACCCCTCGCACTGACAACCCTCCTCCCGCTCTGACAACCCTCCTCCCTGGGTTTTCTGATTCCCCTCCAGCGCTTCGCACTGACAACCCTCCCTCCCCCTCCTCCCTGCACTGACAACCCTCCTCCCGCACTGACAAAAACCCCTCCCGCTCTGAAAACCTCCCCTGGGTTTTCTGATTCCCCTCCAGCGCTTCGCACTGACAACCCTCCTCCCGCACTGACAACCCTCCTCCCGCTCTGACAACCCTCCTCCCTGGGTTTTCTGATTCCCCTCCCGTGCTCCGCACTGACAACCCTCCTCCCGCACTGACAACCCTTCTCCCGCACTGACAACCCTTCTCCTGCACTGACAACCCTTCTCTCTGGGTTTTCTGATTCCCCTCCAGCGCTCCGCACTGACAACCCTCCTCCCGCACTGACAACCCTCCTCCCGCACTGACAACCCTCCTCCCGCACTGACAACCCTCCTCCCGCACTGACAACCCTCCTCCCTGGGTTTTCTGATTCCCCTCCCGTGCTCCGCACTGACAACCCTCCTCCCGCACTGACAACCCTCCTCCCGCATTGACAACCCTCCTCCCGCTCTGACAACCCTTCCCTCCTCCCTGGGTTTTCTGATTCCCCTTCCGTGCTCCGCACTGACAACCCTCCTCCCCTGACAACCCTCCTCCCTGCCCCTCCAGTGCTCCGCACTGACAACCCCCCTCTCCCGCACTCAACCCCTCCCGCACTGACAACCCTCCTCCCTGGGTTTTCTGATTCCCCTCCCGTGCTCCGCACTGACAACCCTCCTCCCGCACTGACAACCCTCCTCCCGCACTGACAACCCTTCTCCTGCACTGACAACCCTTCTCCCTGGGTTTTCTGATTCCCCTCCAGCGCTCCGCACTGACAACCCTCCTCCCACTGACAACCACTGACAACCCTCCTCCCTGAGTTTTCGCACTGACAACCCTCCTCCCTGCATTGACAACCCTCCTCCCCCGCACTGACAACCCTCCTCCCGCACTGACAACCCTCCTCCCTGGGTTTTCTGATTCCCCTCCAGCGCTCCGCACTGACAACCCTCCTCCTGCACTGACAACCCTCCTCCCGCACTGACAACCCTCCTCCCCCTCCAGCGCTCCGCACTGACAACCGCCCTCCCTGGGATTTCTGATCTGACAACCCTCCTCCCTGGGTTTTCTGATTCCCCTCCAGCGCTTCGCACTGACAACCCTCCTCAACCCTCCTCCCTGCACTGACAACCCTCCTCCCGCCTCCGCACTGACAACCCTCCTCCCGCATTGACAACCCTCCTCCCGCTCTGACAACCCTCCTCCCTGGGTTTTCTGATTCCCCTCCAGCGCTTCGCACTGACAACCCTCCTTCCTCCCGCACTGACAACCCCCCTTCTCCCCCCCTCCAGCACTGACAACCCTTCTCCTGCACTGACAACCCTTCTCCCCGCACTGACAACCCTTCTCCTGCACTGACAACCCTTCTCCCTGGGTTTTCTGATTCCCCTCCAGCGCTCCGCACTGACAACCCTCCTCCCGCACTGACAACCCTCCTCCCGCACTGACAACCCTCCTCCCGCACTGACAACCCTCTCCTGTACTGACAACCCCCTCCCTGGGTTTTCTGATTCCCCTCCAGCACTCCGCACTGACAACCCTCCTCCCGCACTGACAACCCTCCTCCCTGGGTTCTCCGATTCCCCTCCAGTGCTCCGCACAAACAACCCCCTCCTCAACCGCACTGATAACCCTTCTCCCTGGGATTTTCTGATTCCCCTCCATCGCTCCGCACTGACAACCCTCCTCCTGCACTGACAACCCTCCTCCCCGCACTGACAACCCTCCTCCCGCACTGACAACCCTCCTCCCTGAGTTTTCTGATTCCCCTCCAGCGCTCCGCACTGACAACCCTCCTCCCTGAGTTTTCTGATTCCCCTCCAGCGCTCCGCACTGACAACCCTCCTCCTGCACTGACAACCCTCTCCCCTGTGTTTTCTGATTCCCCTCCAGCGCTCCGCACTGACAACCCTCCCTCCACTGCACTGACAACCCTCCTCCCGCACTGACATTCCCTCCAGCGCTCCGCACTGACAACCCTCCTCCCGCACTGACAACCCCCCTCCCTGAGTTTTTCTGATTCCCCTCCAGCGCTCCGCACTGACAACCCTCCTCCCTGAGTTTTCTGATTCCCCTCCAGCGCTCCGCACTGACAACCCCCTCCCTGGGATTTTCTGATTCCCCTCCAGCGCTCCGCACTGACAACCCTCCTCCCGCACTGACAACCCTCCTCCCGCACTGACAACCCTCCTCCCTGGGCATTTCTGATTCCCCTCCAGCGCTCCGCACTGACAACCCTCCTCCCTGGGATTTCTGATTCCCCTCCAGCGCTCCGCACTGACAACCCTCCTCCCGCTCTGACAACCCCCCTCCCGCACTGACAACCCCCCTCCCGCACTGACAACCCTCCTCCCTGGGATTTCTGATTCCCCTCCAGCAGCCGACATCCAGACTTAGAAGGCAATTTGAGAATTGCATCAGAAATGGTCCAGGGAGAGAGCAAAGCCCGGGGGATTGGGAGGGGGGCGGTATTACCTTTGCAGCTGAGCTCCGGGGTGTTGATGACACCGTTAATAGCAGCTTGCGCTGCGGCGTTCTGCTTCTTCAGGAACTCGATGGTTTTTCTTAACTCGTTCAGCTCCGAATCCTGTAAAAGGGATGACAGAGACAAGAAAGTGATTGAGACGTCCCGAGACCCCAGGCACACATTTATAGGCTGGCCTCAGGTGACACACAGAGATGAAACAAATCCTCCTGCATCCTTTGTATCTGTTTATCTGCACTCTCCTCTTCTCTACGTCTGTTCAAAGTCCAGAATTTATACAGCTTGTCTGAGCTTTCAGAGCAAAAAGTTGGAGTAGAGCTGAAATGACACACTGCAGAGCTCGGTGAGGAGAGCTCTGGTTGGAGGAAGGGACACCCCTTCCTTCACACAGCACGCAGGAACAGAGCTGAGGCTGTCAATCACAGGCTGTGTAATAAAGCTCCCTCCCCTGTCACCTTTTTTCTCTTGGTGTCAGGAAAACCTGTCAGAAGTGACTCGTGCTGATAGCAGAGGAATGAAGCACTAGTCAGAAATGACACTTAGGGCCAGTTTACACTATACAAATGCGTTCCAGATGCGTTTATGCATGCGTGTTTTTGGCATGTTCTGGTGCGTTTTTGGTGTACTTTTTTTCCCCTCTTTTTCTTCAATTTAAATAGGGACAAGTGCATTCCAGTGCCGTTTTGGTGCGTTTTTTTCTATGTGTTTTACAGCGTTCCAGTACAGTTCTGTGAAGGAAAAATGCATCCTGTTCTACTCTCTTTCCTTCCACCGGAACGCACTGGAACTGCAAGCACTGATGTGAACTATGACACCGACAACCATATCACCGACTTTCTGTGCGTTTTTGGATGCAGAAAAAAAAAAAGCAACTGAACCGCATGTCGTGTGAACCAGCCCTTAGTGCTCTGGACTGAGACAAGTACACACTATAGAGGGGTGTGCTTTGTTCATGTTTCACGTCTGAAGTTTACAACCACTTTAAGAGCTGAACTGAAACATTTTTTTTTTCTTTTTAGTGAAAGCTGGACGTTGTACTTACTTTCTGCTCTGCCGACATGGTGAGGCTCTGCAGCCGGATTGTCATGTTGCTTAAACTCTGTTCAAAGGCAGCAACTAGGTGAGCCTGGAAAACACACAAAAAAAAAAGATAAAGCCGTCAATGAGCTGCAGTGCAGCAGAGGATTCTGGTGATTCCGGGAACATCTGCAGCTGATCTACATTCACACTGATGCGGTGCGGAATTTCCAGCGTTTTCAGTGCGCACCGCATCAGAATCGCACCCTGTTAATGCAATTTCCTGCGGCTGTATATGTTAAGTTAACAACAGCCTGAAAGTGGTCCGCAAAACGCGGTGCGATGTGCAGAATCGGATCGCATAGGTGTGAATTCCCGTGCGATCAGATTCTAGTGCGGACCAAAAAAACGGTCCTGTGCGTTTTTGCTGTGGGTGTGGTGCAGTTAGATCCATACAAAAGGTACGACTCCGATCGCACCGCACGCAAACCGCATGTGATGTGCACAGGAATGCGGTGCGGTTTCCGTGTGAATCACATGCGATATATCGCACCGCATGTATGTGAACCCGGGCTGAAAGTCCTATTATTATGGGGGGCATTTATTTATGTAAATTGCCTGAAATGGTCATGATGAAAAATATATATATTACCAGATGTTCACCTATAATTATTTGGATAATGTGAACATTTAGCCCGGGTTCGTTGCGGAATCTGCAGCGTTTTCTGTGCGAATTCCGCACCACATCAGAATCGCACCGTGTGAACCGCTGCGAGTGTGTATGGTAAGTTAACAACACCCCGAAATCGGTCTGCAAAACGCGGTGCGATGTGCAGAATCGGTCATTTTAACATATATTTTTAAAAATACATTTTCATATATTTTGTGGGTGGGAACTGACTCACTGCCACTGACATCCCCAGTGACACCAATACAGTGATCGGAGCTAAAAAAAAAAAGCACTGTACTGTACTAATGACACTGGGCAGGACATCTGGGGCGATCAAAGGGTTAACTGTGTGCTGTGTCTGTGCTTTCCACTGTAAGCATGCTGCTTTGTACGGCTCTGCTAGTAAGTTTAAAATCGCGCGGTTTGTGTGCCATTATCGGCGCGATTTCAGGTGTGATCTCTGAAGAATGTATTGCGACTTGTGGAGATTTTCAGCGATTTCTTGTCATTTGCAGCGCGATTTCCATTACATTCTATGTTTGTGAAATCGCAACAAAACTGCAGAAAAAAAGTCACGCAGGAGCTACTTTAGAAATCACACACGTTAAGACGCAGACATTCACATTCATTAGATGCGTTTTCAATTCCCAAATCACATCTGAAGTCGCACCAGTAAACTGGGCGCTTAAATAAGGGTCCACCGCAGGGGCGGACTGACAACTCATGGGGTCCCCCGGGCAATAGGGGATCATGGGGCCCGTGTCCTCGCCCACACTCAAACAACACCCAAAAAAGCCTATGAAAAAGGTACCAGGGGCATCTCATGGGGCCCCCTACTGACCCCGGGCCCTCGGGCAGTGCCCGAGTTCCCAAATGGTCAGTCCGCCCCTGGTCCACTGTGGAACGCCAGTATCAGCCGGCGGCATGCGGAGGAGGTGCCCGGCCAGTCACGGGCAGGTGAGGAATGTGTCTGGGAGGTGCTGGAATCTCTGAGTGGAAGGACAATACCAGAAACCAGCAAAGAGCCAGATCCTCACACGGGTACTGATACAACCACCTAGCGACTCTGTTCTCACAAGTCCTTAAAGGACATGTCCTTAAAGGATATGTCCTTAAAGGATAAGTTCACCTTTATATAAAAAAAAAAATGAATGCAGATGAGTGCATTTATTATTTATTTATTTACATTTTTTTTCGGAGCCACCCGTGATCTGCAGACTGTCAGTGTAGCTGCTCGGAGGCAGACCGATATTATTATTATACAGGATTTATGGCGCCAACAGTTTGCTCAGCGCTTTACAATATAACGGGAGACAATACAGCAACGATACAGTTCAATACAAGAGGGATAGGAGGGCCCTGATCCTGGGAGCTTACAATCTAAGAGGCTACTTTTCCACTTTTGAAGAATTTTTGCGTTAAACGAAAAGCGCTTGAAACGCTGCAGAAAAATGCTTCCCTGTGTATGTGAATGTATATCGATGTATGTTTTCACACTCATTGCGTGTTGCGGTGCGGTCTAAAAACTCCCCGCTTGCGGCGCCTTTGAGGCATGTTTGGGGAGTTAAAAAAAAAACGCCTCTGCACATAAAAAAAAAAAATAAAATGCGATTAGCTCGAAAAAAAACACAAAAAACACAAAAAACGCCTCTTCCCAATTAAATCAATGGAAAAGGCCTCTAAGAAGCGTTTTTGGTGCAGTTTTAAGTCACGTGTCCATTAAAAAACATGGCAAATATGCGGTAAAAACTCGGCAAAACCGCCTATGCGTTTTTGCGGCGGATCAGTGTGAAAGTAGCCTTACTGAATGACAGGAGGAATGAATGAACCACCTAGGCGGCTCATCGGCACTCTCATAGTTCATTGAGAGCTAAAAGCAGTCAGCTGCAATAGCTGATGGTAGTTGTAGTTCTCCCATTCATAGAACTCTGTGGTGAAAATGACCGGGTGGGCGGAGCCCCGCGCCGCTGCGTTTTTTTCTTTTAAACTGTGACAGCGGGTGCAGAGAGAGAATCCGAAGAAACGGGGAATTGGGGAGGGCAAGGGTGAGCTTATCCTTCAAAGCAGAAGTTTATTCTGCTTATATTCTGCCTTCCCGGTTTCCTCCCTCATCAACAAACAATAGAACCTTTCCATTTTCATTACACACCTTGTCATCACTGGGTCTCTGTGCTTCTCTGTGCAATGCAGGCACATAATGGCTAGTGGGAGGGGCAAGCAGAGTGCCGTACATAGCTTCCTGGAAACATCCCAGCACTGCCTCAGTACTCCTCTCAACAGCCCTCATGCAGTGGGCGGGCTCTTGGGAGGAGTTATGCAAATATCAAAATGCATTGATGGGTGGGTGTCAGTCTGGAGCAGTAGGCCTTCTTCTTCTACAGAAAGGGGCAGGCCAGGGACAGTCCAGATGATGCCGGACGTCCTCCAGTCAGGAAATGAGGCGGAGCTCTCTCTGACTGGCTGCAGCTTCTAATGCACATTGTGAGAAGCTCCCAGTGTGCAGTGACATCAGAGGAAGCCGTTTCAGTCCAGGGGAGGAGCCAGTACACCTGTGCAAGACTGAAGGGGAGGAGCCATACAACTGTGCAAGACTGAAGGGGAGGAGCCGCTAAAACTGTGCAAGACTGAAGGGGAGGAGCCGCTACAACTGTGCAAGACTGAAGAGGAGGAGCCGATACACCTGTGCAAGACTGAAGAGGAGGAGCCGATACACCTGTGCAAGACTGAAGGGGAGGAGCCATACAACTGTGCAAGACTGAAGGGGAGGAGCCGCTACAACTGTGCAAGACTGAAGAGGAGGAGTCGGTACAACTGTGCAAGACTGAAGGGGAGGAGCCGGTACACCTGTGCAAGACTGAAGGGGAGGAGCCACTACAATTGGGCAAGACTGAAGGGGAGGAGCCGCAACAACTGGGCAAGACTGAAGAGGAGGATCTGGTACAAATGTACAAGACTGGAGGGGAGGAGTCGATACACCTGTGCAAGACTGAAGGGGAGGAGCTGGTACACCTGTGCAAGACTGAAGAGGAGGAGCCAGTACACCTGTGCAAGACTGAAGAGGAGGAGCCAGTACACCTGTGCAAGACTGAAGAGGAGGAGCCGCTACAACTATGCAAGACAAGGGGAGGAGGCGGTACAACTGTGCAAGACTGGAGGGGGGAGGACCGTTTTCACCTCTTTGATCCTTTATTTTGTTTCTCTTTTATTTATATTTTTTAGCTAAATTCAGGTTTATAGGAGAATCTACACATAATGCGATTTTTATTTTTTTTTTTGTCGTTTTATTTTGTATTTGAAAAGGCTGCAGGATCATCAGAACAACAAAAAAAGGTAAGGCACGTCATCACGTAACAAATCAGTTTTATAGACTTCTTTTTTATTATTATGTGATAATTGTTTCTCATTGAAGTTGGAGCTTTTCTCTCTTTACACGATTCTAGACATCAAAGGCTTCAACTGGCTTTACAGATCACTGGGGTGCGCTGACTCGCGCGTCTCTTTCATCCCCTATATATAGCCTGAGCCACCTGCGTGATGTGCGGACAATGAGAGGAGGGCCGGCCCCCTGTACATCGCCTGTTTCTATATATACACCAGAAATACCGGAGAGGAAACGGCCGAGACACAAACACATCGCAGGGATTGGAGGAACCCGAAACACGTTCAATGGAGCGCAACTGGCTGCAAATCCCCGAGCAAACAGAGCAAAACAGGAGGACACAATGGGGAGCAGGATGCGAGTCTTCTCCATTGTGATTCTAACATAACAAGCCCGGCGGAGCGCGAGGAACAACGGCCGGATGATGTCACCTCTGACGGCCCACCGACCCGCCGCCATTACAACCGACTGGGTTTATGGAACTCTTCTACCAATGTAATGGCTGCAATCCTGATGAGAAATCGCAACATCTTCTCTTCTTATCTTTGGAGCAATAAAGGTGCTGATGGCTGTTAGAATAATCGGAATATCACTTTACGCGGCAATTAGGCAACTGTGCATGGGAGCCTTGACTGTCCCGGGTCTCTCGCTCCTCATTGGCTGAGTTACAGCCATTGGTTCCCACTGCTGTCCATCACAGCCGGGTTGGGGGACCGAACCGCAGCTCTATTTGGCTTATAGAAGCATAGAGCGTGGCTCTGGAGTGAGCGCGCACCAGTGCGCAGCTTGCTATTGGGGGCACTGGTCACGGGGGGTGGAGCCAGGAGCGCCGGCGGGGGACCCAAGAAAAGGAGGATCGGGGCTGCTTTGTGCAAAACCATTACACAAAGCAGGTAAATATAACATGTTATTAGAAGAAGAAAAAGAACCTTTAACCCCTCGCCCACCGGGCACTTCTACCTCCTTCCTGCCTACCGGACACTTCTACCCCCCT